CTGCAGCCCGGTCGGGAGCACGGTGCAGTGCCTAAAACAGGCACTGCGCCGTGATAGGGCCTAGAACATACTGTCTAGTGTGCCGTTCGCCAGCTCTTTTCAATGGAGGAGGGTGGCACAAATTCAGATGAATGCCCGCGGTGGCTGCGAGGGGCGCTGCCAAACGGGTGGGTGCTGACCGTGTGTCGTCGGCTTCGCACAGCCGATTTGCCAAGGTCGCGTGGATTTCTATGTTCATGTTTTCAGTTCATGCTCAATTTTATGTTTATGTTTTCATTTATTACCAGGCTGTGTGTTTGTTGTTCGTGTCGTCAGAGGGTGAGTGAGCGATTATCGTGTCTCCCTGCCTGTCACAACGGGAACTATGAAGTGAATGATAGAATGTTGAAGTCAAATGATTGAAGAAAAGCACTTGCTTCGTACTGTTCTGCACAACTTGTCAGCGTTAGAACAAACAGCAATTATCATTATTCGCAGCCCCAGCAGGTGAAGCACGTCTTGCGTAATGGAACAGAAAGATAATGAGGGCAGACAAGAGACTGACACCAACTGCTGTGATTTGTGAGAAACACTTTGATAGAGTTTTATTGAGCGCTTGTTCACCGTAAGCGTGAACGGCGTTGTCAACAAGATTCCCCGCGACAAACCGTGCCTCAAAATTGATGCGGTGCCCACCATATTCTCCAAATATCCTCAGCACCTTGTTCGAAATTGCCGACAAAACGAAAAAAAAAAGAACTTTTTGGCTTCAGTACGTAGACATTCTAGCAAAACGTCACCACAGTGCCAAATTGATTGCCTTGAAGGTGATCTCTGCCATTAAAGAGTCTTGTGCTGAGGTAGACATTCTAGCAAAACGTCGCCGCAGCACCAAGTTAATTGCCTTGGAAGGGATCTCTGCCATTAAACAATCTTGTGCTGAGGATAATTCTACTGTGCCTGAAGAGTGCGCTACACCCCATGGATCAGAAAAAGAAAGCGTGCAAAACACTGAAGCTCGATCAGCACCCACAATGAACCAATCGACACCCATTCTGAGACCTCAGTATTTCTATCACTTGGCTGAAAGTGTCGTCTCTGCAAGCAGGAAAAGTAGCGTATCCGTACTGTGAAAGTGAAGCGAACAATTTTTCTACCCTGTTCATAGAGAAAACAATATACTTCGAAAAGCTTTTGCCTGAACAGCAATCAGTAGTCGCAGCGGTATATCTCAAAGGACGAGAGAAATCAAAACAAATCCTCAAACGTAGTGATGAGGCTGAAGCCCTCATCAAAGAAGTTTCAGTGACAGCTCTTTGTGGTGGTTGTGGCTTGAAGCGAGTATCATCGAAACACAACTCATTCAGAGGCGTTTTTTTTTTTCTGAAAAATGTTTGTTGACAGTGCAGTCAGATGGAAAGCCTTGTGTTTTTTAGAAAGTACCAGAGGGTTCTGGTTCCAAACCAGACCTTCAAGAGAAAGAAAGAGGCAAAGAAAAGTGCAAGAGATGATGTCGAAAAGAAGCACTGCAAGAACATTTTTCACAATTTGTTGAGAATCAAGAAGATACTCGCGAACGTAAAAGAGCATGTGTCTTGTATGAAAGTGCGAATTGAGACAGCTAGCGAAAAGGCATTCGAAAGTAATATTAGATATCTTCCCCTAAAACAATAACTTGCTGCGAAGAGCTGCTTCGTTGCCGCATGATGGAAGTCACATAAAGGCATGCAGTACAACGATGAGTGGATTGTGGAATGCATCACGATGAAGATGCGAAGCCTGAAGTTGTATGAACACTCCACAAAGAAGCCGTCATGGCACTGCCTGGGAGAACTTGTCTGCATACCTGCAGCATGTCGAGGGTAGCTTTGGCCTCAATGCCAATATTTTTATGCTTTTACTGAGCTTTATGTGCTGACATAAGCTGAAGAGAAACTAGTGCAAGAGCGAAAACTCTTTGATGCAGAGCATGCTAGCACCCAAGGCACGCCGCGGCCATACACCGCGAGTAGGCGACATTAAAAGCTTTCGCTTTATAAATTCTGCCGACGTCATGTATAGTGGTACTATTGTGTTTCATTAAAATACGTCAGCATATGATCGCTTTACCGAGCAAAACATATTCCGCTTCTAGCATCAAAACAGGCAGCAGCTTTTTTGCCAATGCTGTGAAAACACAGCGGGCTATGAGAAGTGGGCGGCGCCAAGGCACCCTCCCGCCCTGCAGTGCTCCAAGCAGCAGCCACCGCCATTCATACAATTTGGTGCCACCCAGAAGGCCGCGAATGGCACACTAGCCAGTATATTCTAGGCACTATAATAGTACGCTGATGCTTAAGAGATAGCGCCAGATGGCGTGCGCTGTCATCATCAGTGGCTGGAACGAGCAGACAGCGTTACTGGAAAATTTTTGGGGGTGCGATAATTACTCGCGGAAAAAAAGAAATTGTATTTTCATTGGGTGATGTGGGGGGTGTGAGACTTATGCAAGTGCGAAGATTACGTGAGTAAATGAGGTATTGGGCAGCTTTGCATGCGCATCTACCACCCCCTCGTCATGATCGTAAAGGCCAACTGCAACGAAATTTCACTTGGACAGAGTTTGCTTGGATTGGGTAAGTAATGATAATCACAGTGAAAAAACTTGCAGTCGTGCATTTCATTTAAATCGTTGCTCCAATTGTCAGCTAGCAAAGTGGAGCCCTAGTGGTCAGGCCAGGCAAATTGTGCACAAACCAAAATCCCTCCTTTTTTGTGGACACCACTCTATGCACAGCTCATTCACAAGAGTTAACTCTTTTGTAGGATGAAATATGGGGCCCTAAGCTGCTGGAACATGAATGTTACGGACAGGACCAGCTTTCATGATTTTCCGAAAACCCTAAAGCTCCTATAGCTGCAGGTTATGACAGTGAGGCTAAAGAAATGGGAGCTATATATATTGAAGGGGGTGGTACTTTACACGGCGCATTTCAATGATGATGACTTGATCTGCTACCGGTGTCTCCACAAATACTGTTGATACTAAGAAGAATGTTAAATCTTGACGCAATGCCTTCAATATTCAACCACTGTGACCCCAACGATGGGAAGCCCTGACCAATGTTTAGGGAAGCAACGGTGTCAAGATGTATTCATATTGGACAGCTTTAGTATAGTAGCGTAAAAGGCCCACTTGAGTGTGTTTCGCTCACTGAGTTATAGCGTAACGTTATTAGAAAAACACTTGTAGTAACGTAAAGCTGATAAAATGACGCCTTGTGAAGCGCTAGACTAGCTGCGCCATTTACACACGAGTAATCAAAGCTCCAAAAGCTGATCGGCTTGCTTCTTGCGAGTAGTCAAAGCAGCCAAGTTCAACAGAATAGTAGACGTACTCAGTTCAAAAGAATTCAAGCGCATGAACATATTTTAAGGAAACAAATTGTGCTAGATCAGGTTCAATGTAAAAGTTTTAGGCACAGCCAGAAGAGTGTTCACAGAAATGCAGAGACGCTTTCGGTAGATATGAAAGTGTGCCAAACTGAGCATCAGTATTGATAACAATACTGTCTTACCATTCATATATTGTCCATCAACAAAGAGAGAATACATAATGTGAAAACCAGCTGCACCATTTATTGTGAACCAGCAAGTTCTTAAGATGGCAGGACAAAACAACAAGTGTGAAGCCGGCAGCAGTTGCTTAGAGCAACGCTTCATGGGCATGCATTTGTGTTTCCTTCACAATGTGGAAGTTTACATAGTTTGCTTCTTCTTTGTTACCAAGGAACTCTGAGGTGCAACCACGAAGGGAATACTTCGAAGTTCAGAGTGGATTTGCATTGGTCAGGCCGCAGTCTACGTCACTTCCAGCCAGCTGTAATGGCGGTTTTTCCAGTTTCGGCATCGAAAATTGCGTTGTTGGCACGTTTTTTTTTTTCTTACGTAACCACTTTAGTTTCGAAGGTAAAATTTGGGAGGGTGCATTATCTTCAGCTAGAGGTGTGGGAAATTTCATTGCAGTTGGCTTTTAGATCATGTTTTCTTTCCTCTGCTAAACATTACCTGCAATGGCGTTCACAATTAGGCTGTTGTTCAGCACCAGCAAGCAAGCCCACCTTGAATGCAGCGGTTCACCAGCAATCTTTGAAAACATGGCTTTCAATGAGAATCGACACTGCAGACTCCTAGCGCTCAAATCCCCAAAGGGCAGAAGCAGAATCCCAGAATTTCATGTCGAATATCATGCTTGCAAAGGAGCACCTGCCAATTAGTCGTGGCATCTCTTCAACGTACATGACATCTGACATTTTGAGCTGCTCATGCTAATGAAATCCACATACCAAAGATTAAAAGTCACCATGGAATGAAGATAAGGTGAGTGACACCATGCTTACTCATCCCATTCCACCAATTTTCATGTCGCTTCTCTGAATTAAAGGTGGAATTGCAACTTCTTTGCGTATCACCACTTTTGTGCATTGCGTGTACAGCTGTTGCACTGTATCTTGATGTGCACTCTTTGGCATGCATGCAATGCTGGCGCTTACTGTAAAACAAGCACTGACTTCAAACATTGCTTACACCAGTACCTCCACACCTCCACTAGTGCTGTTGAAACAAAAGGCATTTTGACTAGTGCCCTTTAAATATTGTAACAACCCACAGCATGGTATATTTGTAAATACTTCCTAGTGATAACTACATTCCATAATAAAGAAATGCTATGCCAAGACATTGACACTTAACTTAAAGTCAGTGCAGCCAAATTTTCTTAATTAGCAGAGCGATAAATCCTGTAGACAGTTTAATCATGCCAAAGTGTTTCTGAAAATTTAAGAAAAGTGGTGCAGGGGCTCCCACCAATATGATAGTATTGCAGCTTTTGCAAGCAGCCATCAAACCAAGGACAAACAAAGTGGACGAGAAAATTCCTCAAACTTCCATGTGGTACAAAATGATGCAAAATGAAAAGGTGCATGGTGTTGCTTTATGCTGTGTTTCTCGAACAGCCCTCTTTCAAGGGCATTGTGGCTCACTTGTTCACAGCGAAGCGGATGGTGTCTTCATTGTGGGAGGCCACCATGATGGCGATGGAGCGCCGCTCCTTGCCCTCCACCACCTGTCGCAGGCACTCGGTGAGAGTGCGGTAGTACATGGTGTTGGTGTCCTCGTATGTGGCATTCACAGGGTCCTCGTAGCCAAGAGTGCGTGCCCTCAGTCGCTCCTGCTCTAGGTAGGCTCCGCGCACCAGCTTGGCACCGAAAAAGAAGCCCTGCCGACGCGCCAGCTCTAAATCACGCACCACGTGGTCGTACGTGGCGCGGAGATAGCACTGGTATGTGTTGAACACGATGGCCTTCTCCTTGTTGTACTTGCGCATTAGCTCCATGGTGATGCGGCTGATGGCTGGCTGGAAATAACTCTGCTCTGCATCGATCATCACACGTACATCACGTGCACGGGCCGCCTGCACCAGCATAACATAAACAATAACTGAGCATAAACCCTGAGACACGTTTTTCCAGCAACTCCGAAATAATTCACTGATTGGGGTACAAACTGTGCAGGAATCATAAAAAACAATGAATGATCAAAAAAGTGCACACAGCATACACCGTCTCTCATATTTTTATTCACAACCACATAAAAAAAACTGAGTTAGGAAAGTCGCGTGTTGCACACACTTCTCCCATTCATCATTGTTTTTTTCTGAGTGCTGCACAGAGTATAAATCCATAGCAACTCTGTTTTCGGTTTCAGGAAACGAATAGCGTGAACAAGCATTATAATTAGGAGCTGCAACTCAACCAAGCAGGCACATTTCACACCTCAGAACAATTTATCTATCAGTTTATGGCCTAAGAAGTCCTTGATGAAAGTCCAGCATTTTCTTAATGGCTCTCGTGAAACTACAACATTTTAGAACACTTTTATGGCTTTGTAGCAGTCCTAATGACAAAATTCATTTAATGTGCTCAGCACAGCGACAGTTCACAATACATCAAGAAGGAACATTACAGGAACAACAAAGTTTTAATGATACCATGCGTCCGCAAAATTCTTTTCTGGGACTGGTCGATTTATCCAAAAATATATTTGTGAGAAAAGTATAAGTGGAACTTTGATGCACAGAGAACTAAAACATCTATACATACTAAGAAAAATATTTTTTTGCAAAGTATAGTATACAAGGTGCGTCGAAAAATTAATGAAAACGAGTCTATTTGAAAAGATATATAGATAATATAAATACAACCCATTAAGAGGTCTTCTCCTACAGCGATACATGGCTTCCAGTGAGATTACTAGGCCAGGAAGACATCATGGTGGGCCTCCTCTGGAATGTTATTTAGAGCCTTGATGCAAGCTATGCCAAAGTGATCTTCTTTCATGAGAGCTTTTTAAGCAGCAAAATAATGAAAAGACCTGGGGGAGCCAGGTCTTGACTGTAAGGCGGCTGGGGAATGGTTGGCACCTTTGAATTGACCAGTGTGGGCTGATGCATTGTTATGGTAAAGGAAAGAGAAAACTCCAACAAAAAATATATTGGGAAAACCTGACGCTTCGATCATGCAACTGCGGGAAAAGCGTCATGTACTAGATCCCGTGCGCCAACTGCCCCACGGCGAAAGAAAAAACCTTCACAAAAGAATGCGACAGCACAGGAACAACATCTGTCAATTGAATAGCCAACGAAGCACAGTAACAGGACACACGACGTGGTGATTCTAAAAAAAAGAAAAGAACACTTGCTGGCAACTCCTCCATGAGAACATTGCCATCGTTCTACTGCCAGGGCTTTCACCCTCATTGTGACCCTCACTTAGTGCCTACGGCAAGCAGCGGTATATAGCCCTGCACACCTCAGGCCTTCCTACCTCTGAGGAAGAAGCCAGAATGGCTTCGAAATGTCAGGTTTTTCTAATACATTTTTGGTTGGAATTTTCTCATTTCTTAAGTTTCTACCCAACCAGGCAGACTCCTGCCAAATGTTGACCTTAGGTTGTCATGATGATCCTAAGCTCCCACAATGTCATTCCTGGGGTGAATGACGGTGCCTTCGTTTAGTGTTTCTTGAACAGGTACTCCCACTTGGCATTAGATGCTGATGGTAGTGCTGTGTGGTAGAAACTCATGGTGAACAAGCTCTCTGGTGTCAAACAGTACAATGAGCATGATGTGGACCTTGACTAGCTCATTCTGGCCTTCTTGAAGGGGCCCTCTAACACTATTGAAGCACCTGTTTTTTTTATTTGTGGTTTACATAGACCGATAGCTGGAGGTAATTTTAGCATTAGTCTAAGCACGGATATGATATGATTTAGTATTTTAATCACACAATAAAGTCTCTACATCGCTGCAGACCACAATACCACGTAGTGGCACTTGTCAGAACTTTGCGGGCAGAGATGAAGCCGGAAGGTTGCCGCCATATGATTGGATAAATGTAACATTAGAAGCGATTGTGGTGTAGGATGAAAACTGAGGTTATTAATCTGTTTCAATTTTCGTCTCTGGGCTTTTTTATCGAACCCTGAACAGACTCGGCCCCAACAAAAAAACATCACTGCGAATACAAAGAACGACAGAGACGGTGGCTGACATTTTGATTTTTAGCTTGCCCGGATGGGATACGATAGACGTCTCTCTTTCTTCCCTCTTCTTGCTTTTGGGAGTTTGCGAGCTGTCTCTTTTTGCATGTGCGCTGTTGAAGGGGTGCAGTGCATCGTTATTGTTCGTCTGGTGGCTCACCGAACAATGCGCGAAGGGTCAAGAGTACTACTTTGCTGTCCTGGTCGTTTTACAAGTTCCTTTCTCAGAATAAAAAGAGGGAGTGACTCGAAATGTTGAAAAAGAAAACAGTAGAAAATACCTCGCTTCAACACAGTAGCTTCCGCTCACGTTCTGACAAGCCAGGCGTCAGGCACAAGATCAACAATCCTTTGAAAAAAGAAAAAACAAGCAACAGGGGGGTGCAAGCGTTTCCCCCACGTAGGCGCTTCCAGCTTATTTCATTGGGGCAGCCTTCCAACGTCATGGGTGAGTGAAATGTGGTCAACTGACCCCGAGAAAATCGACTTGAGGTGTCGGCACTTTTTTTCTTGTATTTTGAATTTTCTGAGTCGAATAACTTCAGACTGCATGCCATTATCACTGCAGTTTTTGCTGCATTAGTCTATCTATACTTCACTCTGCATAACCCATGGATAAAACATGGGGAGTTGAATAGTGTTGGAGGGCCACTTTAAAGGAGAACTGCAACACTTTTTGAGCATGGTCAGAAAACGCTGCAAATCAATAGTAGAGGCTCCAGAGAACATGCGAGCCAAATAATATAGCACAGCACGCGGTCTGGAATTTACAATAAATTATCGAAGTCAGTTAAAATTGCTTTCTCTTCTTTCGGCAAATGACGGAATATGCTCAAAAATCACTTGTAGAAAGCCATCTATCGTCCAATGGCTGATTTGAACATGGCATGCTTTGTTATTACAGAGATCTCTGCGGGAGGCCGCGACTTGACCACGCGGGCCAGCGCTATCACACTGACAAAGTTGCATATTCCAAGAAAAAGAAAACGTGCTTAAGGTCACAAGGTGCGCGTGATGAATTTTCTTTGCCCCTGCTGTCTCTCCCTACTTAGCTTGCAGCACTTTCATTGGATTAGAACGAGAGAAGAGAGAATACAATTGCAGCATGTGACAAATCTTTGTAACTTGACTCGCACTGAACGAATTTTTGAAATTTTTGTGGCATTGAATTAGTGAGGCAATAAGCTCTTCCAGTGAATTCATTCCATGGTTACTTGAAAAAGTGTTTTAGGATCCCCTTAAAGTGAGCAGACTCTGTGGTGTGCCACTCAGCATTTTGCCCTTTTGTTTCAATGTCGCACTGACACCCACGACTTGTCACCAGATACGTCTAAGAAGGAGGTGAAGCTTTAATATTATTGCTACGCTAACATGACAGGGAGGATGAATAAAAGAGCAGGACAAAAACCACTTGTCTCGTGAGTGGATCGATGCCTTGATGGTGCTGACATGAGACGGCGCTGAGGACAAAATCGGGTGACATGGCCGCCTATGCAACATTGGAAGCAGATGGGGTGCTCACGAGACATGCTGCAATTGCCAGCGGGAGAATATATGGTGCGGCTGTCCCACATTTGAAAGACTGCATATGGACCGTATATGAAGCCGTTGTGGACCTTGCAACCTAGATGGGCGTTCGTTACAGGGCTTGGGCGAGCTGCGAAGTTGTATGCATCAACGTAAGCAGTGTTGGTCAACGACACACCCGGATCGCACGAAGGAAGAGGCTCCCGAACCCGAGGAGACGGAACAGACGCCGCTTCACGTTGGTCGAGCTCTTCCTACACCACTTGGCGGATAATTGACGCAAGGCCAGACAGGGCTGGAGCGACGTCAACGCTGGCGACAGTCGTTATGTTGGTCAAGCGGACAAACTTCGGAGTGATGTGCCGAGCTCTTAAGGCTTCAAATGTGCGGCAGTGCAGGATAACGTCACTCACAGACTCCAGACTGTCCTTCGCGATGAGGCGCTAGTAGACGTCTTCAGCAATTCCTTTCAGAAGGTGACACACTTTGTCCTCTTCGGTCATACGAGGGTCCAGGACCTTGCACAACTTGAGCACTTCTTCAATGTACGTTGTGCAGGTTTCTACAGGAAGCTGAGTGCACTGCATCAGCATTTGCTTGGTACGCTTCTTTTTGGCCGCTGGGTCTTCGAAGCACTTCCTAATCTCATCGACGAACTTCTGCCACAAGGAAAAGGCCGACATTAGTGAGTTGACCGGTGGCATTCCAACCATTAAACTGACTTGCTCATTGGTAGAAGCTCAGCCATGCATCCACATCCTCAACAGCTTTTCCTGCGAAGGTTTGTGGCTCGATGTAGGGTTGCCACGGGAGACTGGAGGCAGCCGCTGTCGGGAGACCGGAAGCAGGTGCCAGATGTTCGTCGTTCGTGTCAGAATCCATCTCTGGCGGCAGACCAGCAATTCGTCTACTTCAGTGAATCACCACGTATTGCGTCTCTGCAGTCAGTGTGTCATCATTCGTAGGGAGCACCATTGTTGCACCCAGCCGTTCGGTGAGCAAGGCCAAACCAAATTAAACCATAACGGAGCAAGAGTGTCTCGCTGTAGTTCCTGCTGTACAGAAGTTTCGCCCGTATCGTATCTCTACGGCCATCACTTCACGCTTGTTACCGACCATCATTCTCGTCGTCATTCGTAGGGAGCGCCCTTGTGGTACCCAGCCGTTCGTTGAGCAAGGCCAAACCGAATTACACTGTAATGGAGCAAGAGTGTCTCGCTGTAGTTTCTGCTGTACAGAAGTTCCCGCCCGTATCGTATCTCTACGGCCATCACTTCACGCTTGTTACTGACCATCATTCACTATGTTGGTTAGTTGGTCTCCGTGACCCATCTGGTAGCCTTGCTTA